GAGAGAGAGCAGGAGCGAGAGAGAGAGAGAGAGAGAGAGAGAGAGAGAGAGAGAGAGAGAGGGGCTGGTGGTAACCCACCACTGTTGTAGACGCGGCTTCACTCCTCCCACTGCTTCCTCCAGCTCCTCCTGCTGCGCTGGCAATGGCCACACGACTACGACGAGGCTGCTTCCTGGTGTACGGACGAGGCGACGAAGGCCAACAGACGGCGGCTGGGAAGGAGAACGAGCTGTCCAGCCGCTAAGGTCGACTACTGGGGTTTCTGCACCCAGTGTGGTGGGTCTGAGTAGTTCAAAATCGAGCTACGCAGATCTCCCTGATTTTGGTTTTTGGTTCCCGTGCGCGGCCTACAAAAAAGAATTCCCCACTTTGGTACCGGTTGGCGCGAACCGACATAAGGGCCTACACCTCCCCCCTGCAACCTTTTTCTTTTTTTTGCTGACCCCTGATTTTTTAGGTGCTCCGCACGCGCATCGTGCACCATGCGCAGTGCGGCGCATCTGCGCTGTGCATCGCACCTCGATTCGCCGTATGTATGGTGTCCATTCATGTGAGATCTGCTCTGACATAGTCCTCCAGGGCATCCGTTTTTCTTTTCTGTTGTTGATGAAAAAATGGAACGATACAGTGAAGATTAGCATGGTCCCTGAAAAAAAAGGAATTAAAATCAAAGCACAAACCACCTGAAATCCTCTTCCTGAATGAGTCTGTTCAATGTTGTCTTTCCACAGTATTTCTGTATTCCTGCCCTTTTTATCATGGTGTCATCTGGTCATCATCATTCATGCTTAGTTATCGTCATTCTTCATGCTTACAGTGCTCGCTGCCTGAAATCTTATCTTTCTATACTGTCCCATTTTGGAATGTCTGCTTTTGCATGTTTGCCGGATTCGTGTGTCCCCAAAGTCTTTTTAGTTTCAGATAAAATGCGTCTCGTTGTTTCTTTGCAGTTTCAGACAAAATCTAGAAAACAACGAGACATATTTTGTCTATTATTGAATATATTGTTTATGAACTTTATGTCTGGGCTACCAGCCGGGCCGCCCGGGGTCACCCTGTTTTCCCGGGCAGCCCGGCCGTGCAAGGACCATGGAAGGTCCCAGCAAAAAAGTAAAAAAAAAAAAAAAAAAACTCTGGAAAAAAAAATGTTATGCAGAAAAATAAAGTGGACAACTTTTGCCTCAGGGTCACATCGAAATTCTTTAACAAATTTAAAATAAAAAATAAAATAAAAATTATATATTTCTAGGTTAGTAAGGCTACCAGCCGGGCCGCCCGGGTCGTGGGTGGCCAGCCCGTGCGAGGACCAGGGAAGGTCCCAGCCAACATTAAAAAACAAAAAATCCGAAAACAAACTATGTTATGCAGAAAAATAAACTGAACAACTTTTGCCTCAGGGTCACATCGAAATTCTTCACCAAATTTAGAATAAAACTAGGCTACCAGAGTGGCCCGGGGTCACTTGCCCGGCCGGGCCAAAAACAATTAAAAAAATAAAAACAAAAATATTATTTTTAAATTTTATTTTTTTCCCTAAATTCGGTGCAGAATTTCGATGTGACCCTGAGGCAAAAGTTGTTCAGTTTATTTTTCTGCATATAGTTGTTTTTCGGATTTTTTAGATTTTTTTTTTTTTTTTTTTTTTTTTTTTTGCTGGGACCTTCCCTGGTCCTTGCACGAGCTGGCCACCGGGACCCGGGCAGCCCGGCTGGTAGCCTAGGAATAAAAGATAAACTTATTTATTTTTTTCTGTTTTTATTTTTTTTAATTGTTTTGGTCCGGCCGGGCAAGTAACCCCGGGCCACTCTGGTAGCCTAGATATATTTTTTATTCTTTTTTTACCCGGCCGGGCAAGTGGTCCCGGGCCACTCTGGTAGCCTAGTTTGTGTGGCTTTGAAAGGTAAAAAGTTGCTAAAAACGAAGTGGCCTTGACACAGTGATCCGACTGCAAGAAGAAACGGAATACCAATTTTTTTTAAATTTTTTTATTTTTTTTTATGATGAGAAAAGAAAAAATGTGTGTCATCTTTGTGCAGGGGCCATGCTAATCTTCTCTGTATCATTCCAATTTTAATGGATGTCCCGACGACTGTACCGAAGTTTTGCACACTGAATTCTCATTGTTTTCCCTGCTGCCTGCCTCGTTCCTCTTCTTGCTTTTGTGTCTTCTCTGTTATCCCCTGCTTACCTCTCTCCCTTCCCTCTTTCTCTCTCTCTCTCTCTCTGTGTCTCTCTCTCTCTCTGTCTGTCTGTCTCTCTCTCTCTCTCTCTCTCTTTCTCTCTCTCTCTCTCTCTCTCTCTCTCTCTCTCTTACGTAACCTTATGTACATCAGGTACTTGCCTGAGGAGATGAGAAATCCTGCAACGTTCAAGTGTGAGTGCCTCTCTTCCCCCTCGTTTGCTTCTGCATTTGTTTTCTTTTTGAGTTCAATTTGGACCGTTTGTTCTGTATTTATGCGTGTAATCTCTGCGCAGGGGCCATGCTAATCTTCTCTTTATCCTTCCAATTTTTAATTTTAACCCCTCTGCTAATTACTTTTTCTGTTGCCGTCGGTTGTTTCTTTTTGTCTCAGTAATCCTTCCAGAACACGTGTTCTGTTGTTTACAAAAGTTGATACCGGGACCACATCCTGAATGTTCTTGGAAGATTCATGGCGTCTACGAAATGCTGTGTTGATGAGTTCAATGCAGGTGAACTTGGTAGACGATAGAACATCAAAATGGTTTTCCTATTTAGGTAGGATGGTTTTCCGGGCGTCCGGGCACCCGACTTATGCCCGGGTACACGCCGGGTGCCCGGCCGTGCATGACTACTACTACTACTACTACTACTACTGCTACTACTAGGTCAGCCTTGAAAAAGGAAGCAAGTAGTTAAAAGCAAAACCAAATTTAGCGAATAACATGAACAAGCGAAATTCCTCGACAAAGGGTATTTTCTTAAGCATCAAAGAGAAAATATGTATAGATGCTGCAACCTCTGACCGAGTGACGCAACTAGGCACTGCAAAAGCAGATGAAGTCGGTCCTTGCCGACTCCATTGTGCAAAAACTTGTCTTGTTGCCTTCGAAGGTGTTCCTTTAAAGTTTAAACTTTAAACACATGCCTTTATTAAATTATTTACCAACCTATTTTCACACCTGCGTACTATCGGTTGATGGGATGAGTGACAGAAAGTTTGTGCACTGTGCATATGTGATTACTGGTCGAGGATTTGCTGATCAACGACCAATTACTTGTGAAGCAATGTGAACCAATGCAATCTAGAAATGAGTGCTGGTCAATTAAGAAGATATGTATTCTGTTTGAGAATGTGATCATAAGAAGAAAAAGAAAAATCCGCTCCGGTAGGATTAGTACGATGGGGGTGTGCTTTCGGACATCCGTTCAAATTGGAACGGTGCGGAGAAGATTCGCATGGCCCCTGCGCAAGGATGACATGCAAAAATTGAGAAATGCGTTTTTTTTTTTTTTTTTTTTTTTTTGAAGGGGGGAAATAAAAAGGATTGGCAGGATGGGATGGCTTATTCAGCCAACTGGTCCAGCAGCTCGGTTGGTACAGCGACGAACTGTTCAGATACAGACCCAAGTTTAAGTCAGTATGCGACCAGGTGAGCAGAATAAAATAATCCCGAATTGCCTGGGGCCGGTCATTTCAATGATGATATATAAAGGCCGTCGCCCTTTAAAAAAAAGGCACGTAAGAAGAGGAGAGGAGAGATGAGGAGTTGAGAAGAAAGGAGAGGAGAGGAGAGGAGAGGAGAGGAGAGGAGAGGAGAGGAGAGGAGAGGAGAGGAGAGACAAAAGGGGATGGGTTATTCATCTGAAATTAACTGTAGCTCGCACTTCGTTTTGTGTGACCGTTTTCAATCTGCAGGGATGCTTCAAAACCCTCAATACAGGCAGCAATTACAGGAAATGCTGTACGGCTCTCTCGCCTTCTCCTTTTCTTTTCCTTCCAGTTGTCCCTGCCTGTCTGCACGCCATCCTCCACTGCAACCCCATGAATGCTAGCATCCTTCAGGCTGGCAATAAATACCAGAAATGTTGTGTG